ATAATGAATTGGCAACTGTAAGATCAGCTATGGTTTCACTCTAGACCAAAGTGTTATGATATGTACACATTGTACATGTGCAAGGTAGTATATCACAGGTAGTATTTAAACCTAAAAGTATTCGATTCCAAGCAATAGTAGTAGTCAGCGGCATGTTTTTGAATATTTTCCAAAAGACAGTTACATCATCATCGCTGACATATATCTATGTCTGCTGTGAAATCATGTCTCTAATGTGTCTCTGTGTCCCCCCTGGCTATAAAATGCATTCTGAATTCACCATTAGTGACATAATTTGAATACTTATGCATCACAGGGTAAAGACCAGAAAAGAGACGACCAGCAGGGGGCAGCACATACTTATTTCAGCAGGGATACAGTATTTTCCACCTCACCTTCACAAGGACCTCCATCAAATAAACAGTATATATTTATAAAAAAATCTTCCATTTTAGCTCTTTCCTTTGATATTAATGCATTTTCTGAAAAACAAAACAAAACACTTGAATGCTATAAAAGAACTGAAATTGACTCATTTATTGTATCACATGAAACCTTCCATACCTGTAAGGCTGAAACGTCACTGCTATAAAAATGTGTCATCATCTAGAGGTCATGAACACGGAATGAATGTGATATTTTTAGCTTTTGTTGGTGCGGACAGATGGACGGATGGAAGAAATTGGGTTCTTTAATTCACGGCGGCTGCCACAGGGGAGGCATGGGGAAATCAATTGTTGCCATCAGTGGTCCAGATTGATCCTCTGTGCGGGGTCAGATCAGTGATCTCTCTCACACCTCCACAGCGAGGGGCCAATCACTGCTCAAGGGACTAATACCGCAAACTGTGTCAGGCTTAGAAACAACATACAGAGTGACAGACTGTGTGTGTTCATCACTTTTAAGACTATTTAATGCAGAGAATGTGATGTTATATTGTAGCTACATGGCTGAGAGTGTTTTGGTGGAGTGCATATGTTCGATATACAGCATAAAGAATCTTTTTCTTTGAGTTTCCTCGGGTGCGAGTCGAGTGAGAAAATGTGGTTTGTCTTCGGGGGGTGAGCATGCGTCTGTGTTGAGTGTGTGACGGAAAGAGGAGGGGTCAGAGGATAGAGGGGGAGAACACACTCCTGAAAGCAGAGATAGAGTGTAACAGAGAGAGAGAGAGATCCAAGGACAGACGGCACTGAGGGGAGGGGAAAACACACACTCTCTCTGTCACACCTACCCCACAGCCTCACATAGCCTCTGTATGAGACAGAACAGATCTTGACATTGTGAGGAAGATGCATGTCTACATCAGAGGAGCATCCAGGACAGGACAATAGCTCCTAAAGCTGCAGAGACAGATACATGCCAGGGACTACAAACATACAGAGAGAGAGAGAAAGAGAAAGAACACAGCAAGCCCAGAGGGAAGGACAGCAGCATTTCAGAGAGGGCAGCACAAGGTGGAAGAGGCAACATTTGCAGGTTTATTCTGTTGGACCTAAACATCCATTCTTAAACAGCTGCCTTTTGGGGTTTCTCCCTCTCTTTGCACGCAGACATCCACTCTGTCTCTTGCCGTCTGCAGAGAGCTCCCACCACTGCTGCTGTGAGATTACAGTCTCCGTACTTCTGTGCACAGCACCAGAGAAGACTGCTGCTTGTAGTCCGAGACCATGAGTGAGGCGAAGAAAGGTGAGCTAGCCATCCGGGATAAAGCCATCCTGCACCAGCAGAGGCGTCTGAAGCAGAACACCCAGTTCACACACAAGGACTCTGCTGACCTCCTGCCCCTGGATGGGCTGAAGAGACTGGGCACATCCAAAGACTTGGTGAGTGGACTTGAGACAGTTCATAATTCACTTGACCTGTTGAGAGGCTGCTGTGTGTGTTGCCAGGTGCTTGGCAGTTGTTAAAGGTTGAGTTTGAGTGGGAGTAGGTGTCAAGATTGTACGGTATCCAGGAGCATGTTTGACAACATTTGAGAGAGATGGCACAAGGTGGTAAAGTCATATTTAAAGGAGAACTCAACCGGTTAAGCTTTGCACTCGTGTGACGCTGTCGGACTCATGATGGATAGGTAAAAATGATTAATATTGATTCAGCAGAACCAGAGATATCTTCTTTCTTATTGCAAGCATTCTTCTTCCCAGTCAAAACCTAGCACCTACATTACCCACAATGCAACCCCACCGCCGGCAGTTCAGTCTGAGATTCTGGCGTGTTATGCTAGTAGCAGCTACGGTAGCCTCAAGCCGAGACGAGGAGCGGGCTACGGGGGTCTGGTAACCTCACTTCTTTCAAACTCCACACCCCGCAGGTTTCTTTTCAATTTCACACTCATCTTCAAAGTCTTCAGCCCCAACTGAGGCTGACTCAAGTGACATCATTTGAGGCAATTTATTAGATTTCACGCAGCTCCCCATTGAGCCAAAAAATAAGTCGAGAAGTACTCCCCTACTAACACCCATAAACAGGCTTTAATGTATAAAGTTTGTGGACTTCGCCTTTAATCGCCTCATTGCAAGTTTATCAGCTATTATTCCCCTCAATGGCAAAACTAACCATTGTTTTAATTATTGATAAATCTGCCAATAATCTGCTTGATTGAACAGTAAACAGTTTAAAACCCAAAATATATTCAGTTCTGTATGTACTGTATGTAAGTGCAGCCTTGAAAAGAAAATTCCTCATAGAAAGAGTCATGAAAGATTCAGAGTCTTGCACTCTGAATACAGGGGAGGGACAGTCAAGTCAAAGCCTGTTACGCTGTGCAGCGCTCTCAAATATAGAGAGATGTCATTATACATTCAGGGACACACACACACACTGCAGGGTTGATAAATAGGATGAAAGTTCACTTCCTCTTCCTCCAGAAGCCTCCTGAACCGAAGCTGTTATACACTCTGGAGGAACTCCCTGTAATAATCTTGACAATTTATTACTCCACCTCTCCTGTGACACAGTTCTGGTTTGATGGCGGCTTCCCAGATTCCCTCGAGCTCTCCAAGAACCTCGACACAATCACTCTGGCACTGCGAAGCAGCACTAGCAGTGCTCGTTGCTCTGCGAATGTCACACTGTGATGCGTTTATGTCTGCCAGATTTTAATACCAACATTTGCTGCTTGAAAAACATTCCACCCCCCTTCTCTTCATCTTTGGCTAAGTCACAATTTTTTTTGTAATCTAATGATAGATATGTTTTCTCTGTCCTTCCCTACTTTATCAACCCTGTGTTCCTGAGGTAACATATATAATTAAAAGTGCAAGTGTGGCAATAATGAGTGGATGTTATTTAAGGTTTAAATACCCATTTCTCTTTTGTACTTTTTAATGAATAGCAGTGTTTAACCACATTCATCCAGACAAATATCTGAACAACTATTAGATGGACTGCAATTAAAATTGACACAGACATTTATAGTCCTATTTATAGAAGATGAATTGCATTAACTTTAAAGATCTTTCAATGTTTTAACGCCATCAGGTGTAAAAATGTTGGTTTATGACCTGCAAAACTACGACATGCACATCAGTTTGAGCTGGACTTTGAATTTATTGCTAATAGCAAAAGTTAGCTGACACACTGACGGTGAACATGGTGACCATTATACCTGCTAAATATAAGAATGTTAGTGTTGTCATTGGGAGCTTAGTGCACATCTGTGTCTCAGTACAGCCTCACAGAGCTGTTAGCATGGCTTTTCCAGCGGCAGTAATGTAAACGTATTGATTACTAGTAAATACACGCCGAGTTGTGAGTAGCGTCTGAGATCGACCATCTCTGGAGTTGGGTCAAATTGCACCGGACCATGCTGGTTTTGCAAACCCTGAAGATTATGACATAGAAGGACATTTCTTTACAGTTTATCTGTGCTCATTTTGTTACTTTGCGAACAGTGTCAGGCTAGCAGTTCCCTCCTGTTTCCAATCTTTGTGCTAAGCTAAGCAAACAAGCTGCTAGCTGTAGCTTCATATTTATTGTGCAGATATTAAAAATGGTATCGCTCTTCTCATTTACCTCTCCGCTGCAAAGCGTATAAGCATTTCGCTCAACATGTCTAACTATTCCTATAAGTATGGAGCTAGAGCAAGGGAGGCAGTTAGCTTAGCATAGCATACAGACTGTAAGCTGGAAACATAAAACAAAGTGTTATTTAATAGACTTTAGAGGTGCTTTTAGATGGATTTCTAAGCTCAGGACAGAGCCAGGCGGCGGTGGTGTAGCATTGTGCTTCCGGGTGTTTCCAGTCAAGCTAACTGTCTCCTGGCTCAATTTAGAGTGTAGACATGAGTGTGGATCTCATCTAGATAAGGAAAGAGTGTATTTCCCAAAATATTAATCTATTCCTTTAATGGCAGACTTAATCTTGCTTTCATTTTTTGACTATACTTGTTGAGCCTATAAAATGCTAATGAAAATTTCCAGTGACTTTTTAAGTTGCTTGTTTTTTTTTCTGACAGACAGTACAAAATCCCCAAAACATTCAATTTGAAATGAAATGAGCAGTAGCAGCTGAAGAAAAGCAGTCAATCTTTGATTTGAGAAGCTAACCAAGCAAATGTTTGCCATTTTTGCTGAATAAAGGACTTAATTGATCATCAAAAGTGTTGTCAAGGGACTCTTTAGTTGATTAACTAATTCATTTATAGACTTGTGGTTTCAAAACTGATGAAGTATAAAGTCCAGATTTCCAGAATAACTACATTCTGCCTTTTGCAGAACTAAAATAATGTCCTCCATAAGGAAAGGTCATACCTGAAATGTCAGATACTGATATTTAAAAAAAAAAAGATAATTTTTCTCTTTTTCTGAAAAATGTACATGATTCTTTACTTTAGAGGCCTGACATTTGGCAATTAATACAAAGAGAACACAAACCGAAAAGAAAATAGTAATTCTTCGGCAGTAATTAGATGAAAATACTGTATGATATAAATGGAAAATGCTGTGTGATTTATAGTCAGACACAGCCTGGAGACAAACAAATGGTTCTGACAGCCTTATCCAGATGATCTCATCTTTTGTCTGTAAGGGCTTGGCATGCAATCCACCTCAGAAAACGCATCATGCTTTCTCTTCATTTACTCCGTCCATGTCTGTTCAGAGTCTGAATGGTGTAGCTGGCTGTCTGCAGAGAGGAGATACAGGCATGACGCAGGACTGCTGGCAATTTCTCTCAAGTTCCTAAAGCTATTCTGACATCGAAAATCACTTGTTACATGCAAATCATGCTGGGCTCCCTGTGGCCACATCTGCGCTACAGATAGGATTTTAGATAGTGAGATGAGCTTCATTCTGTCTTCAAGGAGAAGATAATTGGTATTATGATAAGAGGGTTTTCAGGCCCCTCTAGGAGATGTTGAATCGCAGGCGGCCAATGGATGAGTTGTACATTATGCTCCTTTTATCTAATAGAGTTTTGGAATCTTTTCAATCTTTCATTTTATCTTCTATAGTGTTTAGATGTGTACTAGTTAGCATTGTACTCTCTGTTGCATAAGAAGCTCTTCCAGAACAGTAAGAAGAAGAGTCTACAGCCATGCTAGCATCTCTGTGAGCTAAATGCTAACACCAGCATGCTAAAATTAAGGACCTATAAGATATAATGTTTACTATGTCCATCATTTTAGTTTAGTATGGCGCACAAGTCCCAATAGATCCTCATAAATCTGTGAAAATTATGAATCATTTAAGGTTTTTATACATTGTAGCTGTAACCTCGGCTTTCTTCCTTTTAATTTCTGCTAGCTGGCCTGTCCTATCCAGTGTGTAATTCAGCAGCAGAGCCTGTTATGTAAGAGTGAATTTGTTTTGCTGCTCTTTAGCCCGAGGTCCTCTCACTCTCAGCAGCAGCAGCATCACTCCAGCCATGTTGCGCTGCGGTGTAAGGGGAGCAGTGAGCATGAAAAGGGCAAAATCCGAACGCAAGAGCGATGGAGGGGAAGGAAAGAGAGGGCTGGAGATGGGGGTCGAGGAGTATAAGCGGTTTAGTGGGGCTGTTTTATGTAACACAATGTAAAGCTTTGAGTACATGTAAGGAGAGCAAACAGGAG